GAAGAGATTTCTTAATCATAGTTACAGCAGCCTTTCTACATTTGATGAAGAGAATTCTAGGCCACAAAATGTTATGTTACAATAAATATGGTAGTCTGTAAGATGTAACAAGATTGTCATTTTGGCTGCAGCCGACATGGCTATTCCTTAGACTACAGGCTAAGAATGTGTGCCTTTCCAGAGGTTGTTGGACTGCAACTCTAACTAAACTTAGCCAATAAAGCCAATGGTGAGGATCATAGGGATCACAATCCAATGATGTCTGAAGGGCCATATATTCCATTCCCCTAAAGCCCTGAATTGGACAGCCAGTCTTCTCTATGCTCTTCCTTCAACTCTCTAGCGTAAGTTTCTTTCACACTTTATATCTCACCTGCCACTGGAACTCTCTCTTTGATGGGTTCATGATTCTTGACAGAATCACAAGGTTGAAAAGAACCAAATAATAATCCAGTCAATCTTGTTCCACACAGTAGTGTTTTCCTTATACCATGTTCACATCCAAATCACAGAGTCCAAGAAGGAGACAGTCAGAGCAAAGATGTATCACACTGTGATGTCTGTGGACCACATCTTACCAGATGACTCAAACAAGTGAGCCAAGTTACAGTATTTAGAGAAAGAAAGACAATTATTTCCTTCTCTGACTCCAGAATGTGGTCAGAGCTTATAAATAAAGTACACCCCCTTCACAATGTACTCCTATGCATGTTTATAGGTACCACTGTGTTTAATAATGCTTACTTCTGTGAAATGCGCAGAGGACTGCAACCTCACCAAACTTTCCTGAAAGGTGCTGCAGCTCTATTCAATACTGTATTCTCTTTGAAGTGATAGTTATAATTTCACAAGCCACAGAAGAAATATTAAATAACAATAAGAAATCCTGAACCTACTGGGGCTAGATAGATGCTTTACAACTTTCATGTGCGGAGGGGACCTACGAACATTTACATACTTTTGCACAGCCACTTTTCTACATGATGATATCACATCACACAGATCACCTAATTTTGGGGAGCCATTCACTCACCTGGGAGCATCAAAGCTGTCATAAGAGCCAACCGTGTAGTGCCTGAAGAGTCTCTTGGCTTTGTCACTTCGGCTCTCTGTAAAACAAAGTAGAAGAGAGCTGGGCATTAGGGCTGAGGGTATATGATATTCAAGCAGCACCTTTTAAAAAGAAAAAAAATCTTCGGGACCCCCTGCTTCCTCTGGCAGCCACTGAGCGGCAGTACAAGTTTAGTAGAGATATAGGTGCTATGAGTGGCATACCTTCTTATTCAAGAAAGAAGTGAGGTGTCCATGAAGAAAGGGAAGGGAGCACAAAAAGGAGAGGAAAAATAAAGGAAAGGAAAGCCAGCTACACAGGTTCCTCTCTTATTGTATGGCAAACCACTGCATCAGTATTATTTGGCTTGATTATTTTCTCTTGATTGTATTTGGAAAATGCCTTTTATATGTGTTATATATGTATATATAAGCACTGCAAGCAATTATGATTAATACCAATAACAGTAATACTAATAATGTGGCTTTGGGTGTAAGCACTTTCCATGTAGCCAATGATGACAAGGAGCTGCATGAAAAAAATGAAAAGGCTAAAAGGTGAGGGGCTGCAACATCCTGTCCCTCTTTTGTATCCAAACAAATGGCCTGCTGGAGCAGAATAGGACAACCAAACAAGTATCAAACAGAAGGAAAAGCACCAACAAAACAGAGGGTAAAACTCAATGCAAATACACATAACACTTACAGATGCTCAGATATACAACATTAAAAAGAATAACTATAGTTTAAACAGAAATACATGACATTTTATCATGCTAGTGAAGACTGCTAACAGGTGACGTGTATGCTTCCATCCTCAGTCTGGTCTCCAGAAACTGTTGATTATAGGCAACCCCAATGCCCTTGACTTCACCCCTTCTTAAAGTTCTTTGTGTCAGACAGAGGATAGAGCTCCAGGTAATGTTTGCTGTGAAACACTGCACATGGCAGTCTTCAGAGGAAAGATTCTGTGATTCTCCATCCAGAGCAGAAATGCAGCGGCCTGTAAGAGGAAAGAAGGAAGGGGTGGAGGAGATGTCTGTAGGCTAGTACCTTCTGTGGGCTGATTTACAACATGGTAACAACAGCAGTATCAGCAACAATTATTGTTGTTTTCATTACAACAAATGTTGGCTGGATTTAGTTCCTTGAGTATTGGGTCATCTGAAGCACTTTGGGTATTCATAGTTATTTCCTTATAACGTGCTGTTCCAAATAAAACAGCCTTCTGCAAATGGCGTATTGTGATCTCATTTACATCTAGAGTACAAAGAGTTTTCTAGATCTGTTGGTATTGCACCTAAAGCGCCAGTTAGTGTTAATCTTCTTTTGCCATAACTGCTCCATCTCAATTTGTAAGTCTTTGCATTTGGCATTCTTTTCAAATTCCTTCTCTTCGGTTCTAGCATTCCCAGGTACTGCCACCTCCAGTATCCCCATCTGTTTCCTTCCAAAAATTACCAAGTTAGGCATTTGTGAACCAGCTGCTTATCAGTTGAACCTGGAAATTCCATCGTATTTTGATTTCTCCATTTTCAACAACCATAACAGTTCTGTGGTTCCATTGGTTTTTGGTCCCTTGTACATGAAGTCTTAGATATTCCGGTACCCCATTGCTGCAACTTTATGATGTCTTTTCGTACAATCTGCTTGCATAATCTTCTTGCGGGCACAGATGAGATAGTCTACTGTTTCTTCTGTACACCACTTCGTTTACTTTCTCAATCTGGATTTCAATTGCATGTGGACAGAGTGCTTGCTCATGTGCTGCAAAGATCAGCCCTTCAGTTTCTTTTTTCTTCTTTTCTTCAGTTGCCTTTGCCAATCTCTAAGGAAACTTCTCCTCCTCTAAAGTGAACATTAAGGCACTATCTAGTAGTGGCTGCCAGTTCACACTCTGCAGCTGAAGAAGCTCATTTGAACTGCTAAGTGTAAAAACATCTTGTAGGATGACTTCTGCTTGTTTGTTTTAACACTCCTCCTTTTCTTCTCAGTTTAAAATTGTATCACCAGATTCAGACTGGGATTAGAGGTGTTTCTACATGGAAGACTCCTAGTGCTATGCAATGAAAGGCATTGTGCAGTTATTTCATCTTTTTCTCTTTAACAGATTTGTGTGTGTATGCGCGCGCAGAAGAAACAGACGTAGTGATTGGAAAACACTGAAATGTTCACAGTAGAAATGAGGGCAGGACATCCCTGTGAAATTCTGTGTTTCGGGAAAAGTTATTGCAGAATAAAAAACTCATCCAAAAATATCCTAAATTAAGTCTCTGACTATTGCCTAAGCAACAACAACAAAACTGTATCTTGGCAGGTAGTTATGTACTGCTTTGCTGCAATGTCCTGCGTAATTGCCCTCTAAATATGAAAAGCTGATGAATGGATTTTTTATGGTAACTATTCTACATTGCTCATAAACAGATCCAGTGTGAGATTTAAAATAGTCTAATTGTTGTCCTCAAATTTAGGGAAAATAAAACAATTACTATCAGTTTCCTGAAGAGTTTATTGAGACAGCCTGCTAACGTACAAGTACTTCCAGACAGCAGTCTCCATACATAAACATTTACAAGACATCCTGTAGGTATTCCTTCTGTGTTAGATTTTTCATGTGTGGGTTTTTTTTTTGTTTGTATGTGTGTGTGAAAAGAAAAAAGATTGAAGAAATGGTGGAACAACATCAACAAGGCAACAACTGCTGGAACGCCTGTAAAACTCTGTGAATATTCTGTCCATTTCTTTATTACACAGTTAAAGCCTCATCTGGAATCACTCTGTGTGTGTGTGCATGTGTGCCCGTGTGCACGCACAGAGAAAGAGAGAGAGAGAAGAAGAAGAAGAAGAAGAAGAAGAAGAAGAAGAAGAAGAAGAAGCAGCAGCAGCAGCAGCAGCAGCAGCAGCAGCGGAGAAATGATTTCAATTATTTGTGTGTGTGGTTTAGGCATGCATCCAAGAGTTATAAGTATACATTAATGTCCCTATCTTTTGTTCATGAAATAATGAAGGTTATATGTGGTTGAAAGAAAATTATATACACCACCCCAAGAAAGGCCATGTCCTGCAAGCAGAATGAATGCATTAGACAATTTAAGGAAATATATTAAATTAAAATCAACATGCTTGTCTTTATGCAACATTCTGTTGCATTAATCTGGTCACAGGTCAGTTTCATGGCTAATATAATTTTATGACTACTGAATGCAGAATTCACCCATTCAGAACAATGCTGTACCAAAACTTCTACTAGAAATGTATTCAGCACATTTTCATGAACTTGAAAGGTGATTGGTGAAAAGGGACAAAACAGCATCACAATTTTTGGTGGGACTGAGATATTCTTAAACTTTTGGAGGGTGGGAAAACTAAACAAAAGCATAAGCATATTTTCTTGTTTCTCTTTATTTTTGTGTTTAAAATACTTTTTTCCCCCCTGCTGTGACATGTGACAACAGTCTGGCCATGGAGCAGACCAGAAGTGCTACTGGTCTAATAATCAGCAAGTAAAGATGAGGAGGTGGAAGGAAGCTTCTGCTACTGGGCACTGAATGTTAACACCCCCTCAAATGTTTAAGAATTCATCTAAAAAAAGGTAAAGATTTCCCTTGACATTTTTTTTAGTCCAGTCGTGTCCGACTCTAGGGGGTGGTGCTCATCCCGTTTTCAAGCCATAGAGCCAGTGCTTGTCCGAAGACAGTTTCCATTGTCATGTGGCCAGTGTGACTAGGGAACGCCGTTTTACCTTCCCACCGAGGTGGTACCTATTTATCTACTCGCATTTGCATGCTTTCAAACTGCTAGGATGGCAGGAACTGCGATAAGCGACGGGAGCTCACTCCATTGCGTGGATTTGAACTTACGACTGCTGGTCTTCTGACCCTGCAGCACAGAGGCTTAACTCCCCCCCAACAAAAAAAATGCCATATGTGCTGCTTTGCTTACGCATCCAAAGAAACGGGGCAGGTAAGGAAAGTACTTCTGGCCCAGTACAATTTAAGATTCCAGCCACTCTCTCTCCATTCCATTCTTCCGGGTTTCCATGACCTCTTGACTAACAGTAAGCTGGCATTCTGTGTCCACTGAAAATACACAGTTCTCACTCAACCTCTCTATTGTGTGCTACATAAGGATCCACAATCACTTTGCTATTTTTGTATATAGGCATGAGTGCATGTATGCGTGTGTAATACGGGAAGGCAAAAAGAAGTGGCTTGGAATACCTACCTTGCTTCCCTTCCTGCGACTTGTTGGGCACTTCCTCCACGCACTCCGAGGGGAACCAGCCCAGGCGGCCTTTTACCTGTCCCTCCCAGAAGCCGCCTTCCCCAACACTCAGCACTGAAAAGAAGATGAGCATCGTTAGGGGCTTGAATATGTGATGGCAGGCCAGTTGTTCACCGCTGTTAAGGTTTACTACTTGTTCAGAGCCAGTGTGGTGCGAGAGAACCAAGGCCAGATTCCCACCCACAACAGAGGCATTCACTGTAGCCATGCTGCCCACCATTACTTGGCACAGCCTCTCTGCGCAACTGAAAGCCACATTAAATTTGTTACTGTTGTTCTTTCTTTAGGTAAAGGCTGTGGGGGTGATTAGGAAGGCTGTTGCCTGAAAACATGCCCTGAGCATGTCTCAAGTCCTCCCTAGTTGTGGGAACCTGACAACAAGAGTGCAAGCTGCTGAGTGAGCAGTGTTTAGTTGTGTTAGCCCCCTCTCTGTGGAACTTGCTGTTACTTTTGGTTAATTTCCTCATTTCTATCTTTTAAAAGCAGCTAAAGACTTCAATGTTCTACATCAGCCTCCTGCAACTTGACACCCTCCAAACAAAGTGTGCAACAATTCTCATCACTCCCATCTAGTATGATGATGGAAAATGGGAGCTTCAGTCCAATACATTTGGATGGTAGCAGGTTGGAGCAGGTTGTTCTATAAGTTCATTTAGAAACAATGTGGTGATCCATTACCTTTTTTGCCTTCCTCCCTGTATTTCTACTATAACATGGTGGCTTATAGAGCCAAATGAACCACAGTGGTTATGGGAGATAATTATTTTAAAAGTTTATACTAGGATGTTGGGATATACATATTCTGGAAAAATGATTCTTTATTATGGATCACAACCCACCAGTGGTCTGCGGGGCATTTTTAGCTGCTGAAGCTGGATCCCATATAACAAAGAAGATTCTTGAAAGCCTCTCCCAGAACAAACAACCAGATGCAGGATCAGCATGGGGCATGCTAGGGCTACATTGCCAATTGTTCATATTATCAGCAGTTTAGGGGGTAGATGGACAATCTGCTGCCCTACAGCTACCTGCAGCCTTGGCTTAGTTTCAAAAGCACTTTGAAAGAGATCAGTTCAAGTCTCCAGCAAGAGCAACATTTTCATCCTCTTTTTTAACTTGCTGGAGATGGAAGGAAAGGGAGACAGTGAAGGAAGAAAAGTGTGTGTGTGTGTGTCAATGTAATTGAAGGGGGAGAGGGAGAGAGAGGGCGAAGAGACGGGGGGGCCAAGTATTTGTAGCTCTGGCTCTGTTCACTACATCCTTGGCTCCCCTTATCACTCATTGCATGTGGCCACACTATGTTTCCTGTAAGGGAATGTGGCCCTTGTTCAAAAGAAGGTTCCACCAAAAGAACAGTATACTCCTTTTTTTAACCTATGCCTCTTTATGAGCATTTCTTTCCCATCCTCCTGCTTTTCACCCTACTTGGAACTGCTGCCAGTCAGAGCAGATCACGTTGGTCTATGTAGACAAACACCCTAAGATGACATGAGGCAGCTCCCTGTGTTTCAGTAGATACAACAAGAGCTCAGAAAGTTGCTCTGAAAATTACTTACAGTTATAGTTTAGAAGCCTGTAAAAATAGTTATTCACTGTTATAACTTTAAATATGTAACTCTTTGCTTTCTTCCTTCTCCAAAGAACCTAAATCAGTTACTTTAGTTATTAAAAAAATAAACAAACAACTGCTACATACCCCTGGCTTCATTTCCACCTTGTAATGTGCTCAAATCCCACAAACAGAGCACAAGGCACAGTACACATCAGCAGCTAAACCAGATGACATTCCTTCTGCACTATTTAGTGAAGTAACAATGCACACAACAAGAACAGTGACTAAAATGTGACAGTTACATCACAAAAAGATTAAAATCCCTCTTTATGCTGCCAGTATAATGTAAGGTATTTGTAACTACTTACTTCCAAAGCTTTGAATACAACAAATGTCTCTTATCTCGTATTCCAAATGTATCCTTCTTTAACAAAATTCTGACTTAAACACTGTTCTATGGACACAGACTCACATACTTATAAAACTGCAAAACACTCACAGGTGGCAGACAGATGCACACCAAGGCACAGTAGACACCAACTACAGACAATACACACAAATGCAAGACAAACCTCACAATTACTCTGGCTCTCAACTCCAGTTGCATCAGCCAACCATAAGGCTCTCAAAATGAGGTAGGAAACTGTGTCCCAAAACAGACGGACAGTTCCAAGATCTTTCCTGACTTAAGTCCCAGCCCCCCCTACAATAAGTACACAATCTGATCATTTCTTCTCACATTCCATTCAGTGTACAGTCTGTATATCCCTATTTGGGCTAAGTTAATTGTGTGAATGTTTGGGGGACGCGGAGATATGTGGAGGCACTCCATACTTTCCCTTCGTGGAGTCCTCACCTGCCCCATTTGCTCTTGCAGAAAGTTGTGAAGGGGTAAAAAGCCTTGAGAGTTTCAGAAGGGGAGCAGGCAGAACTGAGAAAGGAGAGTTGCACCAAAACCTCTCACTTTTGCTGCCCCATTCTGCAGAAATGGAGGGCATGTGTGAGATGCCAGCTAGAAGTAGCAACATCTAAGTCAAACCATGCCAAGGTGTCACCCATTTTCCAGTGATCTCAGATGATCCTCTCTCTGGTATCTGACATGTAGGGGTAAGAGTTTGAATGTTTTAAATATTCTTTTGGAAATGCCATACTTTTTTCTTTAACTTCAGCTGGAAAGGCTGGCTGCAATGGAGTTTGAGAATGCCGGCACTACATCCACTGGTCTCTCCCAAAGAACCCAGACATTGTGGGCTCAGGGAGAATCCTTGGGCAATCCAAGGGTGTGCGCAGAGATCAACGTACCCTTGATCTTTTCGCCCTTGCTGATGGAGAGCTCACCCTCGGCCTGGGCCTGGTATGGTTTCACAGCCATGAATGTGCGGCCAGGCACAGCTGAATAGAGTTTCCGCTTCACACCCCGGCTACTCAGCGTGCTGCCTCCAGCAGATTCCTTCTGGTAGCCACTGGAGCTGCCAAAGGAAAGAGAAGCCAAGATGTAGCAAGGGCAACACAGAAGTCCTGGTTCTGTGGCCATGTTGGCTGTGGAAATCTCTAAGTTGTAGTTCAAAAAACAAATAAACAAAAAGGAACATTCAACATTTCTAAATCTGAGTGCAGAGTTGATTTTTTAACTGCAAAACCTTATGATTCTTGCTGATATTTCCCTTTTGTGCATCAGTGTTGCTGTTCTGGCTCCATAAGGATCCATTCTTAGATAATGAGTTCGATATGATCCTTCTTGCTTGTGAGTCTACTGCCACAAGGTCCAAATACAGTGGTGCCCCACTTGATTTCGCTTGACGACGAAATCACTTAACGATGAGTTTTTTTGCGATCGCTATGGTGATTGCAAAACGATGGTTTCAATGGTGTAAAGTTTTTAAAATTATATTGTTGTTTTTATTGTAAGCCGCCTAGAGTGGTCTAATTTGATCAGATTTTTGCGATCGCTATGGTGATCGCAAAACAATGGTTTCAACGGGGTTTTTTCGCTTTACGATGATTTAGACCCTGCTTCGCGAACCAATATGGGTTTTTTTCGCTTTACGATGATTTCGACCCTGCTTCGCGAACCAACTGTTCGCTATATGACGATTAAAAACAGCTGATCGGCAGTTTGCAAAATGGCTCCCTGCTGTTTTCCGGACCTATTTTCGCTACACAGGCATCACAAAATAGCTGCCCTATCTCATCCAGATCTTCCCTGGATGAGCAGGTATTTCCCCCATTGGAACACATTGACTGGTTTTCAATGCATTCCAATGGTTTTTTTTTTTGGCTTGGCGACAATTTTGCTGTACAGCGATTTTGCTGGAACGCATTATTGTCGTCAAGCGGGGCACCACTGCATCAAGAATCCTGTACCTTGACTCCCTTATGGATATGTTTAAAAAATATAGCTTGAAACAATGAGAATTCTAGATTTCCCCCTTCACGAGCATTCTGGTCCTAAGCCAGCTCTCTTTCCAAAAGAACACAGAAATCCTGGCTCTCAGAGTCTCATTTAATCATTCAGCATAGAATAAAACAACAGAAGTTGATGCCCAGTAGTACAAACTGTGCCTCCAATATCCTGCATTTAATTTACCTCTTTCCTTGATATCTGCAGGTAATACATGAATGCTTGAAGAGATCACCATGTGTACAACTGCATATACAGAAGTTTCCAAGCAAGCTGAAACTTTTTGCCAGAAGGACTCCAACTCTCATTGAGTTTTGAGTGGCTATTGCTGTAAAAATGGAGACCCTTTCTCTGCAGATGTCCATATAGGGAACATGGACATTAGGGGAACAGCCTGAAAAGGGCTAGTGGATTCTGGCAGTTGTAGTCCAAAAGGATAACATTACCAATATTCATTCAAAAAGATATTATATGCTCAATATTTGGTTCGGGCCTGCTTGGAGCATGCCTATTATCAATGTGTGTGATTACTTTTACTATAACTGGATTGCTAGTTCGAAGTTGGTCTCATTCAACCTCCAGAGAGTCTTAAGCTCTGAGATGCTTCTGCTATTGGGTCCCAATCCCTTTCAAAGGAATTTAAGAAACAGATCTTCACTCTCATGGTGTCACAAGGACATGACTTTGGGGTACACTGAAGGTCCGTATTTGTAGAATCAATAGGATGGCCTCTGAAACTTAAGTAAAATAAGGTACCTTATAGAGTGTTCACTGCTGACAAGAACATTAAGCCTAAAGTTCCATCATTGTCTCACCCTCGCCATCAATGCCAGAGTCCCACCCAGATCTCTTTAATTCACTCCAAGCCCAGGCAGCTGAAATATCTCAGACAAGAAGCTTCAGACTATACCTGGGTCGCCCGCGTTGCTTTTTTGCCTCGTCTGTGTGGCGTCCACGTGATGGAGAACGGCTGCGAGCGCCACGGGGGCTGCTGGAACTGCGCAGGGTTCCTGTGGTGATCTTCTGACCCTGAACAGCCACGGTGGAAGATGGAGTGGATGGAGGGGCATAAAGCATCCAATCTGGAAGGTTCATGCTGGTGTCGCTGTTGGCTCGTAACAAGGTATGTGGCACTGCCAGACTCTGGGAACCATCCCGACGTCGGCTGGCATATTGCGGTGTCTCCTGGAAAGGAACTGAAAGGGATGGCAAAGTCACAGAAAAGATAGAAAGGATAACTGATAACAATGGGACAGACTGTCAGGAGAGGGAATGAAATGGCTACACTACGGAGGAGGAAGATCATAGCATGTGGGATGAGGGCTGGGAAAGGATTTTTAGTATGCCACTGAAAATCCTAGTATAGTGTGAGCAAGCTTTGTGTGAAACTTCACATGGGCTTTAATTGTCCGGAAAGCTAGTTGAGGCAAAATGTAGACAAATTATATTCAGGCACACCAATTAGCTTTCTAAGAATTTCAGTATCCATTACAGTAAAAAAAAAAAGTCCTACATAGGTTCTTAGACCAAGAATAGAGAACATGTGGTTCTTTTCTTTTGCTGGACTGCAACTTCCATGTTCCTTCATGACTGGCACTGCTGGCCAAAATCAAGGGAAGTCACAATTCAATGATATCTAGAGAGAGGAAAAAATCTCCCACCTTGTGATTGTGATGATGTGCTTGAAAATATGTGGAAAATGCCTCTTAGAATCTCAGAAGCCTGACAGAGATGGTTTGGAGGTTTAAAAGATTTCCAGTGGTTCAGAAGGCAGTTGCAGTGTTCTGCATAGCTCATTACACTTCTTCTTGACTATCAAATCAGAATTTGTAATGCAAAATAGGATAAATTATGCACATTTTTTTCAATTACGCAGTGACTGGCATGATGCCATAAAGCTTGATCAATTTTGCACGTTTCTAGCTCCCTCTGGTTCCATTTGATTCTAGGTTTCATGAAGAGAGGGGAGAGATACAAGAAAGACGTACGGTATGTGTGCACCTGTGTGCATGTGTGTATGGTTAATGTTGGAAATAATAATGTGGAAACAGAGGAGCATGGAGGTGGGGAATGGATATTAATTGTCAGAGAGGGAAAAAGGATCCTAGGTCAGTAAAAAGGAAATGAGATAAATGGAGAGAGAAGAGTTGGCCTCAGGTTTCAGAGAAGGCTCAGTCAAACCATCTACTGGGGCAGTGCAAAACAAACAAACAAACAAACAATATAACAACTAGCAGTAACATTATGGTTTCTAGTGTGATAAGTTGAAATCCATTATTACTGAGGAGGAGCTCATTAAGGTGGATTTTTGGTATTTTTTGGTATGTTTTTAAATGTTTTCTTTAAAATCTTTTTACTGCTAACACAACAGTAACATGTTAGGAATGAGTGAGACAATACGTTATGTCCAAATAACATACTGGCTGAAATCCAGTAGTAAATTGCAACCTGAGCAGGCCTATTGAATCGATGAAATGTATAGAGGAAGTGATTCCCCAAATCCCCCACTGATTCAACAGGCCTACTCTAGTTGTAACTTATTGATAGATTTCAGTCCAATGAATTATTTGTTCCACACAGAAACAACAGTAGAACTGTATTACTTTTTAAAAGTACTGTTACAAGCTCTGCCCTGTACCAACCAACATGATATTTCCTCAGGACATAGTAAAAATTAAAATGGAATCTCTGGCTTCCCACAGTGTCCTGTATTGACATTACACTGGGTAAAATTCTATTGTGTACATTTACATCAGCAGAAGCAGATGATATCAGATGGCACCAGTAAAATTTTAATTTTAATTCATTAAAAATCTCCTATCCCTCCATGCTAGATGCCAAAGCTCCCTAGGACTCCCTTTTGCCTTGGGGAAGCTTTTGGAAAACTTGCAATGGAGGGACAGCCTTTAACCACCAAAAATTGCCACTGGATTGCTGCTGCTGAGATTGGGACTGCCAGTGCTGATCCAGCGGTGAAAGGAAGCTTTTAATTACTTTAAATTTAATTTTACCAGTGCCAGCTGATGGCATCATCAGATGCTGTCAGTGTAAATGCATGCTATCAGGATTTTGGCCACTGAGTGCTCTGAAGCACTGTGGGGAATTTAAAATGGCTGCCTGTAGCTGCCTGCTGCCAGAAAGATGTTACCAGTGCTAAGTGCATCCTGCCATGGTCTTGGGACCCCACTGGTGGGTCTGGGTCTGTGAGGAAACAGGAAGGAAACAGGAAGGAGACCGTTGGGAAGAAAGGGGTGGGAGAAGACAGTGACAATACAGGGAAAAATGAGACAACAACAGTAGTACAGCAATTGAAAAGAGCTAGGCACTGTTTAGAGCACATTCAACAGTGAAAAACAAACTGGTTTCTGACTGGGCTTCTGAAATATGTCAAAAGCATACAAGCTTGCACCATTTTAAGAAGAGTTGAAAGTTTCAGCAATGCAGCATCCTGAATGAATATGTGGTGCTGCTAGGTGCCACCACCAAATTTCTAGTTACCTGGGATGTTTTCCAGTGTGACAACAAGATGACATGAAACAGAGATGGTCCATGCAACATCCTTTTACTATATGTTTTTATTTGCATTTTGAGGTTATCCTTTGTTAAAAATACTAATGCAGAAGGGAGTAATTTATAAATCAAGCTTACATTCCAGTCAAAGTTTTTCTAGTCACTTTACCAGTACAGAAAACTCAGAAATCAAAGGAAGCATCAGCTGTGAGGAGGAAAAGCTAGTTTAAATCCAGTTCACTTCTCATGCTCTTCCCATCAAAACTGGGAAATTGTAGTTTAATTTGAGATGTGAAATATCTACCAATAATTCTTAGCCTACAATTTTCTGTGTTATTGCTGGAGTTTCTGTATGTATGTGGAGTGTAGTCTTGATAAATAAAGGCTGCAGTCTTATACAAACTTATCTAGCATCATGCTCAGTGAGCAGACGCATACAGGATTGCACCATGAATCAAATTACATTTGTACTGTAGATCCTATAATAAGTTCCTTACCCTCCCCCGATCAAACTCACCCACATCTGCATCCCGGTGATTCTTGATTAGCTCCCCCAACTCAAAGTTTCCTGCAATGACTGCAACCTAGTATGGAAAAAATATGTGTACACATATATATGACATAAATTTTGTTTTGAATGATGAGAAATCCATAAGAAACTGGTCATTTTTCAAGTGTGGCTTGGATGACAAACCCAAGGTGGGGTCTTTCCTTTAAATCCTTCATTTTACACTATGCCTATAAGAGTTCAATAATATTACTTGCAATACAAGCAAAGGAGAGCTACTTGTACAGTGGACCCTCGACTTACAGATGGCTTGACTTATAGACTTTTCAAGTTACAGACTTCTCTGGCCACAAAATTTAGGTTCGACTTACAGCCAGAGAATCGACCTACAGACCAGAAAAAAAAACAAAATGGAACAAAGATGGAACAAAAATGGCCGGTTACGGGATTAATCGGTTTTCAATGCATTATAGGTCAATGGAGACTCAACCTACAGACTTTTCGACCTGCAGCCACCGTTCCAATACAGATTAATTCCGTAAGTAGAGGGTCCACTGTACTCCTGTTTTCCTTCAGAACTCCCATAAACTGTATTTTGTTACAGTATTTTGTTGGCCTCTTGCTGAATCTGTGGTAGGAAGTTACAATTAAGAAGGGATATGTTCTTAATTTTTTTATCCTCCACCCTATCTCCTCTGTCACACAGATGGTGACACACAGAAGTGGAGGGTCCCAGAACCCGGTTCTATCTGTAATAGTATATAACACTGAAGATTTGGTGGTGGTGGGAAGAGACAAATTTTTGAGAGAAAATATGTGGTAGTACCTTAAAAACGAGACATAGGAACTGTTTTTGCTAAGCTTAATATGTCAGCCTAGATCCATAAACACTCATATTCACATACTCTAGGGCTCAGAGAAAAGTGAAGAATGTGCAGAAACTCAGCCCTCTGATGCCTAAGTGCCAGGTTAGGTCAGCATGCCTCATTCTTGTTTTCTCAGATCACCACATACCTGAAAAGCAGTCTGTCCATGGTTGTTCTTGATCTCTTTGTTAGCACCTCGGTATAGTAGGATTCGGGCACAGCTCTCCTGGAAAGTAGCGTTGAAAGAGAAGGAGAAAGACTGAATTAATAAGGCACAATATTTACTCACAGCAATCTTAGTAGACAAAGGGAGGCATCCAGAGATCGATATAAACAAGACTGTGGTTCTTTTTTCTTACTTCATGCATTCATATATTTAATTCTTGCCATAGGGATGGAACATGCTATTCTTCCCATTATCCAAATGGAGGTACTGAGGTTGCTGGATGAATGACTTGCAAGTCTTTTAATTAAATAACCATATTCATATATGACTAGACTGGGATCTGAACACAGACTTCCCGGTGCAAAATCAATACGCTAGCCGGTGGATGACATGAATGTCAGCTTTCCATTTAAAACACAACTTGGTTATACAGCATGGATTTTGTGTGGGAGTTTTATCTCATAATCTCAAGGGGCAGTATTTTACACTCAGTGTCAGTTTCTGTCTCCTTCTTACAACTTGTTCAATAAGCAGTGTTTCAGCACATGTCACATTTACCATCCACAAAGATACTATCACATATCCCTTTTCTTCATTAATTATTTGCAAAAAAGTATTCAGTTCAAATATTTCTCTCCAAACACACAGAGTCATGTGACTTCTCTAGGTATTAGTGGGTTTTTTTCCCATCGCAAAGCAATACAACATGTAATTTAGCTACTATTGGCTTCGAACATCTGTGTAAATATTTAGTCTTCTAGGACTCTCATGATTTAAAGAAGTAAAAACCTGAAGATGTCAAAAGGCATCTATGGGCTCATCTATACTGCTCATTTGGAAGCGGGTTGGCGTGGGCTTGGGTAAAGGGGCAATATGCCATTTGGTGTGGTCCTTGCATGCAAATGGCATACAGACCTCGAACAATCCCTTTTGGTCTGGTTCCTTCCATTTTGAATTTCTGATACTGTGAAGTAGCTTAATAAGTGAGCCACTTGGGATATCAGCAAACTGAACACTTCCTCTGCTCCTTGGAGGAGGGGCAGATGAAGTGAATATTTTTAAAGACTCTGGTAGATATCACTGATGCACTACATTACTTATATAAAAATATAAAAAAAACAATTTTCTTTGCCTTCTCTGAAGGGCTTGTAAAAAAACTGCCTGTAGCTGAATCTGTGGATTTCACTGTGAATTGTTTCTCAACGAGTCCTTAAGGCAAAGCAAAAGAAATATTTCTATTTTTATCTTTATACACATGATACAGCATATCAGTGATGGCTACCAAAATCTTAAAATGAATAACTTCCTCTGCTCCTCCACCGAGAAGCAGAGGAAGTATTCAATGTGCAGTTATTCTGAAATGGCTCACTTATTAAATCACTTTATGATATTGTAAATTCAAAATGAAAGGAACCTTGACAGTCAGAAGGCTCCCTTTTGATCCATTCCCAGCGGTCATGTGTGCTGGAAATGGATCAAACTAGATATCAATCAGTACCGAAAAAGCAGAAATCCTTGACAGTGGCTCAGAAAAGTGCAGGTAGGGATGCTTTGGGACAGTTTGGTTCACTCCAGAGATTAAGTCATGTAATTACCGGAAAAGAAGCAAACCAACCCATCCCTGAAATGAACCAAACAGTAGGCCTTATGCCTGACTGATCACACCAAGTATTAAGAACTCCAATCCTTAAGAAAAAGTATGGACTTAATGTACAGTCTAACATCTGTTCCTACAGTCTGTGCATGAAGGACGAAGCCATGGATGGACACTTTAGGTTCTCTAGATCACTGGTTCTTAACCTTTGTTACTCAGATGCTTTTGAACTGCAACTCCCAGAAACCCCAGTCAGCACAACTGGTGGTGAAGGCTTCTGGGAGTTGCAGTTCAAAACTTCTGAGTAACCCAAGGTTAAGAGCCAGTGCTCTAGATGAACTGGACCCAGACATCCCAGCCAGCAGTAAAGGGTTATGGGAGTTATAGTCCAAATCATCTGGAAGTTATCCAAGCCTAATTTAGAATGAAGATGGACACACCAAAACACAGCCTACAGCATTTTTACAGTTGCTGTGTATACTTGGCCTCATCCCATCTTGGCAATGGAAGTGATAAGACATGAACATGCTGGCACAGTTATCAGATGTGTTCTTCTTTGTGCTTCTTCTAGGCTTTCATTTTCATTTTTTTAAAACATTCTGCTTGAACATTCATGCATTTATTCACCTTATTTTAAAATGCCTGTTTAATATATGCAAGATTGCTCCGAGGATCGGCAGATTCTCTTGATGATGTCACTGCTGCCATCCAATCAGTACTGTGTATGACTTGCTCATACTTCAAATATGCAGAATCAGCTTCCGATTATGAGGCCCTATAAGGAAGATGCCCACCCTTACCCCAAGCATTTCTCCTTCCTCTGTACTTATTATAAGTACTATCCCATTTGCTTGTCTTGTCTTTCTGAACCCAACCCACTTCATCATCTATAGGGAGAGGAGAAGGTAAGCTAAGATTGCATATCCTCTTTTTCACTCATTAGGAAAGGTAAGTGTACAGGCAGCACAAGCAAGTAACAACAGCAGCTGCTGCAGGATTTCTGTGAGCTGGCAATTGGTTTCCTGTCAAACCTGGATCTTTGGCAATGCCCAATACATTAATGTTGGCTCCTTCAACAACCATGTTTTAAGTGCTTAAACCTGCAAAGGAAGAGGATACTTGGACTGAGCAAGGTGAGGTTAAGGGTAGTTCTACCTTAGGCTGTCTAAAACTTTCACAAGTGTGTGGAAAAGTCTGTCTTCAGTGACATGCTCTCTTTCTCCCTCCCTCCCTCTTTTGCATAATGATTCCCCCAACTCCTCAAAATAATCACAATGGACTGTTATAAGTGATGCTGAATCTTGCCCAGGATGGGCAACCTCCAAAAGAGCGACATATGGCCATCCATGGACTCTGAAAGGCTGTATCTGTATCCCCTCCCACAACTCCCACTCCCACTTCTTCTTACTTTTTTTTCCTGGAAAAAGTCTTTTTCTGCCCTCTAGCACAGTGGTCCCCAACCTTGGGCCTCCATGTGTTCTTGGACTTCAATTCCCAGAAATCTTGGCCAGCAGAGGTGGTGGTGAAGGCTTCTGGGAGTTGTAGTCCAAGAACATCTGGAGGCCCAAGGTTGGGGACCACTGCTCTAGAAGCCCCAAGATATCTATTTTTAGTTTGTTTATTTTTAATGGTCCATCCCCACCAAATAAAATAAAATAAAAGGCAAAACTGACCCCACATGATTCAGTACAGTGGTTCTCAAACTTGGGTCCCCAGATGTTCTTGGACTATAACTCCCAGAAATCCTGGCCAGCACAGCAAGTGGTGAAAGCTTCTGAGAACTGCAGTTCAAGCATATCTAGGGACCCCAGTTTGAGAACCACTGACTTAGCAGACACATGGATACTTTTGGGGCCCATTTTTCCTAATTTGTTTTTGGACCTGAGGAAGGTAGGCCACATTTGGGGCCCCAGATGGGTTACATGCAGTCCAATGGTTGCACATTGCCTACTCTAATCTAGCCAGACACCTACCTGGTGCTCTCCCCATGTGTTGGACTAGAAGTCCAACAATCCTTGGCTGCCAAGGCCATTGGAGGGCACCAGATTGGGAAAGGCTGTTCTAGACTGGCAGACCTTTCAGAAGGAGGTACTCCTAGCCCAACCCAGCTGTAGAAAGAAAGATGAAAAAGGAGCTTTAGATCTGTTACAGTATTCTAAAGCCCAAAAGGCAATCCTTGTAAAATACCACTAGAACATAAAAGTGCAGCCTAGTACACAAGAAAGCTTTTATCAACAAATTCCAGCTAAATTTCCTTCTCAAATCAATGATACCGGCTGTCAAGAGATATAAATAAGCTTCTTTGGGGAAAAGAGGAAAAAGGAAGAAGATAGGCAACAAACACAGAGAGACATTTTCAGATAAAAGTCGCACATTTAATTTAACTTAGCTAATTGCGTTTTACCCGCCTGAAAAGAGTTTTAAGTTTCAACACCTGTACCAAGCTTGCTGAGAAACAGATAGTGTTAGTTCCTTGTGGAGCATTTTGGATCGTTTGATTCACTTGGTTTGAGAGGGCAGAAAAGACCAAGGGTGACACCACACACATATATATGGAAAACTGAGAGGAGTGAAAGTTGGCATTCTGTCTCTGACAGAAGGTGGGTTGGGCAAAGGGTTACATAAATTTCATCTCTGATGTAAATTGTCAGGTTAGCCAATCAAAAATTAAGTAGACAGATAGTTCTGCCTTCCTAAGGAGTTTTGACTTCCACAATGAAAGAGCTAGCTAATTCAGACCAAGTATCTGTTGAGAAAAATAGATTACATTGGGAAAACTGGCTGAAAACTGGGGCTTCTTGGCAGGGTTTCGGAGTCTCAGAAACTCTAGATGGCACTGTTACTCAGTATCAGAATACAGAAGTTTGTCATACTTACTTTGTTGTAGAGTGCACAAATGTGCAGTGCTGTATTTCCGGATGCATTCTGTGCACCTGGCTCAGCGCCGTAGAACAGCAGGTGTTCCAAGTGCTGGGAATGTCCATGTTGGCAGGCCTGGTACGTGGAGAAGCAGAGATCAGGAATGGAAGGTGGGGCTAGATGATCAGATGGACAGGTGCAAGTCACAGCCACCCCCCTCAATCTTTAAGCTTGGAGCCAGCCCTAGCAGGAAACACACATAGGATGTAAGATGGGTAGCTAGCAGTCTTGCAAACAAAATTGGGGGCTACCAGACATGATATCTTAGACTGCCTGGGGGCTTGACCTAGGTGTAAGATCTTACTTGATGTATCTCTTGCCAGCCATTCTCATCAGTGGTGCCAATATGGGCTCGATTGTACAGCAGAAGTTCGCAACAACGTGGGTCACCTCCAACCATAGCTGTGTGATAGAGAGGAGTCAGCCCACGACGATCCTTGTAATTGGGTGAGCCTCCTAGGTCCAAAAGTGCCTGCAAGAGGCAGAGAGGAGGACATGATTGATAAACGCAATATCCTGTAATCCTTTTTTTCCCCTGCTTAAGCGAATTAAAGTTTTCATTCTCTAACAATGGCTTATTGTATGCTCGACAACATTAATACTGATACATTAAATCCAGCATGGGCAGCTTGGTGCACTCCGGACATTTTGATTAACAATGATCAGGGATTCCAGGAATCCAAAATATTTCAAGCGCATTCGGTTGTGTGTTCTGCATTAAATGACCAACAGTTGACCAGGATGGAATTTTCTTTGTCATTTATCTTCACTTCTTCCCTTTTATTTGTTACTCATTCCCCTTTATAGTTGTGCTCCAAATGACAAGTAAAGAACAAAAGACTCCTAATAATGTCTCCTAGAACTAAAAAAATTAACAGCTTGGCTGATACATTTTCTCACCTTGCCACAACCGTATGGACACATAAGGTGGACCTGCAGAGTTTGTTTGTTTGTTTGTCTAAAATATTTTTTCCTCATCTTTCTCCTTAGAAGGACACAAGGCAGCTTACATCATTAAAAAGACAATATTAAAATGCTAAACACAATAGGCATACAAATATTAAAAGGAATTAAGCAAGTATTGTATTAAAAACTGTATAGAAAATCAATACTATAAACACATTTATAAACAAAGAACACAATAATCCATTTTTTAAAAACCTTCTCTCGTTAAAGCAATACTTCAGATGATGTTTCAGTGTAAAATAAATCAAGTTAAATTAAATACGAGTCATGTGGCAGTTACATGGTCTTTGAATCACAGTTTGCATTCCCTTGGAACATTGAACAAAGTTTAATCTACTGTTTTTGATGGGCCACCCTCGTCAGACATGTACTCTCTCTTCAGCCTAAGGCACAGGTCCCACGGTATCAGATTATCTTGTCACCTGCACAAGAGCTGCACAAAGTACAAATCCTGGCACAGTCCTAGAGGTAGGGTATAGTCTCAGCAAGAGACTGTCACTCCTCAGGACATCTATCTTCTAGATAGATATCCAATCTATCTTCTTGTACTTTTAAGGCACTCTCTTAACTCTGGGTCTTCCATATATTTTGAACCAACTCCTAGAATCCTTGACCACTGGCTAAGGTATTGCAGCTGTTGAAGTCCAAAACAATAGGAAAGCTAAAGGTTGGGAACTATTTTCTAAAGCAGTGGTTCTTAGCCTTGGGTTACTCAGGTGTTTTTGGACTGCAACTCCCAGAAGCCTTCACCACCAGCTGTGCTGGCTGGGATTTCTGGGAGTTGCAGTTCAAAAACACCTGAGTAACCGAAGGTTAAGAACTACTGTTCTAAAGCACCATGCATATTAATAGCACTGCATAAAAGCATAACATAGGACAACATGCATAGCAAAATAAACCATGTGGATAGACAACATTAATGGATATCTTTATATCTCCCACTGGCTGGATAGCTCAGTGAATTAGGTATCTGGCTGTAGAGGAAGAGACTAAGAATTCAATCCCCCCTGTGCATTCCAGAAGAGTCAGCCTGTGTAGCCTTGGGCAAACTGAACAGTCCCAGGATGCCCCTAGATAGAAGGGAATGGTATTACCATCAGGGCTGGATAGTGGTGTGAGCACACTGCTTTGTGTAATGCTGTGGCTCCATCTCTAGCCCGAAAGTCTATGTGGGCACCACCAAGGCATAGCAGCCGGATCACATCGATGGTCCCATCCAACTGGGCAGCTAACGTCAAAGGTGTCTCTGAAAAGAAAACAGAAGGTTATTATTGTCATGTGTGCCTTTGTATGTTATGTGTGTGGATGTATTTGGTGCGATTGGCACCTAAGGCATCCCTTCCCAAATAAATAAATAAAATAAATAAAAATTTTTGTCATGTGTGCCTGTGCATGTTGTGCGTGGATGTATTTGGTGCAATTGGCACCTAAGGCATCCCTTCCATTCTCACTTTCTCCTCTCTGATAGTTACCGCCAGTGTCAGAATCATGATAGTTGGGGTCCAGCCCTTTATCCAGGAGTCGTGCCACTTTCTCAGCAGCTCCGTGCTGCACATACTCCAGAAATTTCTTCAGTCCCGTCTGGGGCAAGATTGCCAATGACATCCATTGAGAGTCAGGGGAGAGAGGGGAAAGAATAGTGAAAAGAATATCCCAGCAAAGACCAGTCTAATGTTGAAACCTCCTCAATGTCTTATGGCCATGATACTTTCTTCTGGCACAGGGCTTCTCTGCCTGCAAAGGCTCCCTTAGTCATTTCCATGACAAGGGGACATTCCACAAGCACATTCCTTTCTACTGAGTCTTTTAAATTCCATCTTTTAAGTTAGACTAACAAAAACTGCTACTCTGCAATATATTTAATTTTTAAAGTAGCTGGCCAAGAGTTTAGTAGCATCCATTTCCACGTACAGTACACTGGAGAGGAGGAGAAGCATGGAAAATATGTAAACCCTTATATCCGCACAGTCTGTCTAATTCATGCACAGTGCTATATCTGGCTTTCAAGATTGAAGCACCAGGACTTTTTCATTAGTAGGGCTGTTGACATTATCTGCCATGTCCCTCAAGTTTCCCTGTCCCCTCTGAGCTTAGATGCAATTTTTGCACAAGCTTGTGGGGACATAGATATGTGATCGATTTTCCCAGCTACCACGTATTGTTATGAGTTATCCATGTTGATAATCCAAAGTATTTTTCAGTAGCTTTGTCCTGCATGGGCAATTAAGACCCATTAGCTTGACGAAATATCCATCCCTGTGGAGTAGAAAATCATTAGAACCAGTTTTCTGGTATAGATTAACACAGTTGCCTGTATTTCCGGAATCTTATTGGAGACTTTATTAGAAGAACTGTAAGGATGAATGCCTTCACTTCAAAACCTCCCATGACTATTTACTCAATATATTCCTACGAGAAAATTTTAATGACATAGAGTTTGAATGTTGCAATTTTTTAAGGGCAACTGCAGTCTCTCTGTCTCATAACACATTCTAAATTAAAATTTTATTTTATTGGTGCAGCTACTGAAAAGTTTTATTCTTTTACCTTAGTGTGGAGTTTTGCCAACTGCTTCTCATCCAGGTTGGTCTGTTTGTATACTCGGGTTTTGTAGCGGAACTAGAAGAACAGTGATAATGGGAGAATGGGGGATGTTACTGCAGTTGCACACAAGTTAGCTAACCATCTCCAGAGCTTTCCCATTTCAGCGCCTCCTTTTTGACTCGCCCCTACAGTTACATAGAAAACCTTCAGGGATGCTTTACCAAAGAGGAATATTCCACACAAAAATCAATTCTCTGTGGGAAACCTTTTGTGTTGTCAGCTGTTCATTCATCACTAAGGAAAAATGGGCACAATGTATTCTCAGAAACTCGTAATGAACCTACAAATGATTCAATCAAGTAGGGCAAACTACACACAGGATTCTTGTAATGTTCTCAGGGTCCTTCAGCATGTCACAGAGGTAAAGATAATATTTCTAAACTCCTTGTTCTTACATTATATATATATATATATTGTCTTTATTATGGTCATTGATCAGCGTAAGGAAGATGGGGTACCAGTCAGTTAATACAGTGGTTCTTAACCTTTGTTACTCAGATGCTTTTGAACTGCAACTCCCAGAAACCCCAGTCAGGACAGCTGGTGGTAAAGGCTTCTGGGAGTTGCAGTCCAAAACTCCTGAGTAACCCAAGGTTAAGAACCAGTGAGTTAATATACCCATTACAAACTCGAATTAAACCATAACTCAAAATTGGATATCAATCTAAAATTTAAAAAGCAACCTCACATACATTCTAATATAACCGGAATACTGTATAGGAATCCAGGGGGCAGTGAGTAAAAAGAAAAGGATTCTAAAGGATTAGATAAGTATTGTGATGCTCAGAGAATCTATAAGTAAACGGTACAGTCATAAAATAGTTCCAAGTAATTATAAGTATACACACATATATAAACTGGCATTAATCAAGCATTAAAAGGCATAAAATTAATTATAAATACTAGTTTGTGATGCCTGTCATTGCCCGGTGAATTTTAATCACAGCCAAGGATTCTAAAGGATTAGATAAGTATTGTGATGCTCAGAGAATCTATAAGTAAACGGTACAGTCATAAAATAGTTCCAAGTAATTATAAGTATACACACATATATAAACTGGCATTAATCAAGCATTAAAAGGCATAAAATTAATTATAAATACTAGTTTGTGATGCCTGTCATCGCCCGGTGAATTTTAATCACAGCCGCACAGAACCTAGCAACATTATATGTTGTATCAGAATTAGTATCTAATATAGTATACTAATACTAATTCTTGTTCTTACATTAAAAGTGGGGAGGCTATGTTACACTTCAGCTGTTCTGTCTGTTTACTGTACAACAGTCTGTTAGCCTGAACTTTAAAAGCCAGCAGAGTGTCTGGGTTCAGGTCTGGCATCAATACAAGCCATTCTTGAGCTCCTGCTAGGGTCCTAGTATCTCTGTTAATGTCTGCTCTAGGCTCTCCCCCTGATAGTTGCTCCCCACCCAGCACTCTGAGCAGCACAAAGCTACAAGATCTAGTCACCATTTTAAATTTCGAACAATAACTCTGAACTTTGGTTGTTCTGAGCCATTGTGGGAAATATAAATGATGACTCAAGTCATCCAGCTAACACAGCTGGGAGCACTGCTTCTGCTCCCAGGTAAGTCTCCCCAGGCCCACTCCACTGAGAAAGGGCAAGGACTACGAAAGGCTGCCTCGCTCAGAATGTAGTGACAAAATGGAGCCAGCTTTTGTTAAAGGTAGAGAAGAAAACCATAACTACTATTTTGAAGCAAGAATCTGTATGGTTGCTGTAAAACAACACTGCATTTTAGAGATGGGTAAACTTTAGCCTTGTAGATCTACTTTGTCTTTTACTTGGCTCCAATAGCAGCCAAGTAGAAAACAGTGGCTCAGTAAAAGTAGATAACACTTATGAGAAGAATGAATGAATTTCTCTGAGTCCAGAAATTTGTTGCTGTTGTTAAACAGTTGGAAATCAGAAAGCCTTGTCAGTCTGGTCACTGTTTGCATTTTTAATGTACTGTAAACTATCCAGAGACCTTTGATTATAAAATCAGTCAATCAGTAAGAATTTCAAATTACTCAGAGATCTATCAGCCTTCTGCCTATCTCTGTTTTACAGCCCTAAGCTGTATGTTTGCATTTAAATGCACCTATTTCTACACATGTCTATGATGAGACAAGATGTGTTTGCCCTTCTGTACATCATAGATGTAACTCCTATAGATCTGAAGGCAGAATGTCAGCTGCAGATATTCATATGATTCAGTTCCTCCCACTCTTTGAGATGTGCCTCAAGACATATCTATTCTCCCAAGCCATCTCTAATTCTCTGAATCTGTCGCTCTTCCTCTGTTGCCTCCCCTTCCCCCCCCTGCACCGCCTTCTTTTGCCTCAAGTGTCTATTTATTTAGATTGCAAGCCTGCAGGAAAGGTTTCATAATTTCTAATCTCGTGGATTGAAACTGTATACTGTAAATATACAGTACACCACTGAGAGAAAATAAGTAATTGCTAACTGAAGTCCCACTTACTGTCCACCTAGCCCAATATTGTCTATTCTAACAGATAGCAGAGTTTCTAGGGTCTCCTTAGCTTTCAGGTGGCAAAGAATTTGAAACGTTACTCTTTTGAACCACAGCTTTTAGCCATCATGCCATCTGGGATGTAAGCACAGAGAATACTGTACAGTATCTAGATCCAGTTCACTATTCTGAGCTCTAGACGTGAGCATGACTAATGTGTAGGTCTAGTTCCTCCACCTCATGATGGCTCTGTACTAGTACACAGATGTGCACTAGTGCACAGATGCATATGTGCCCATCCAGATGCTAGTAAATAGATACCAGCAGCAGCCCTAGTCTGTTAATGATGAATGGTGAAAGCTGCTGGTGAACAATATCAGAGGGTCACAAACACATACCTCGTCCCTGCAGTGGTAGGAAGCAGTTTAGTATACATGAGACACCTGATTTTTTACTAATCACCCATACTTATTACAGCTCTGAAAAAGCGTATCCTGTAGTATTCCAAAAGGTCCACCAAATCTCAGGGACAGCTTGGGGGATGCACAATTGGTTAAAATAGCAGGACTGTCAGAGCAATTAATTTTTTAAAAATATATATAACCCTTAAAATTATCAACTTAGAATTAAAGAACAAGGTACCTTAGAAATATTGTGTGTGTGTGTGCTAGAGTGGAACAGTGAGCTCACTATTCTCTTGCACACCTATTTTCAGGGTTGCCTTTAGAATTCAGCCTAAATTGGGGGTGGTAGTCAGGGAGTCATTTTTATTGCTCTTTTTTAAATGGGGAGCCAGAAAGCTACAATAGCCTATTGCAAATCATCCAGAGATCTACCAGCAGATTAAAACCTACCTGCTGGCTCCCTGCTGTTGGACCAGCCCAGGAGCAGACTTACCTCCAGGTAGGGCACTCCCTTTTCAAAACTCTGTGGGTACTCGCGCAAAAGGCGCTCTTCATCCAGGAATTTGGCATCCCGCCCATTGGTGGCTGGCTGAAAAAGCCCATAATTAAGGACATCCTTGAGGCTTTCATTGAGTGTGCAGAGAATCTGCTGCTTCGCCACCCAAATGGCTGCATCGGGATTGAAGCGCAAGCATTTCTGAAATGGGACCAGGTTGGGCAGAGGGAGGGAATTGAGAGCAAAAGGAATGCATTAAAATTTGTACAAAATCTCATCCTTTCTAAGTTTGCTCTAAAACAGAATGCATCCTTTGCACAAATCTAACATTAATTTATTTACACTCTCCTTTTTTTTTCAAGGGTCCCAAGGCAGTGAAACAGCTCTCTCCACAATCACAATTCTCCACAATCTTTTGCGACAAGCCAGTCCATCACTATTCCAAGACATTTAGCTGCTTGAGGCAAAATATAAGATGGTGGCTTCCTCCATTTCACATACAGAAGCTGACTGGACTGGCAGCTGAATCCTATTTCAACACTGGTAAGAGGGTAATATCTACAGTACTTAAGGGCAGTAGACTATGTTAAGGAAACAAGACAAATCATGTAGCATACGCCGTTCTTTCTGAAAAATAGGGGAATACCCAGAAATTGAAATGGCTAGGATTGCTGCTGATGCTACCCTTCAGCATTTGCTGCCTAAGAAGGTTGTGTTACTCTACTTAAAGTCATGCTGACCCCGGGCTGAGCTCAGAAATAAAGTAAGTGGCCCAAGGCCACTTAATACTGGATGAGAGGGGATTTGAAAGAAACCCAATTTCCCTAGGAACTGTTTGACTTCCAAACACTATTGTGCGTCAGCTTTTATGATGCAACATTCAATATTAGCTTTGATCCACCATTTGTAGCTGTTCTACATACTTGGGTCTTTGAAGTCTCTTTAGCTTTACAAACAATTATAATGGCATTCTGCATATTATGAACCATTCACAATAGCTGTCTTTTTTGAGATACTAAAGGAAGGATACAAACCTGTATTGCAATATTCACTCAAAGTACTTCTCATGATAGTTTCCTGTTTACTTCTTATTAAAACCATATTGCAGAATTAAAACAGAGAGCTGAAATGGGTCCTTAATTTAGTCAGATCTATGGATTAATTCTAGCAATTCCTCATCTATTCTAAGAAATTTTCCTGTGTAGGGGACTTAGGATAATAAGTTGGTACAACCAGTGCAGAACAGCCAGCCCAGGAACTAAACAGAGTTACTTACATTTAAAATTTTCTACTTGTATTATGTATCAATACCAGCCTAATGCCTGTAATGCCATTTATTACATGTATTAAGATTTTATGTTTATGTTATTATTTTGTAAGCCATCCAGAGTAATGGCCTGGCCACCAGATAGGTGGGGCAAAATCCAAATAAATAAATAAATAAATAAATAAATAAATAAACAAACAAACAAACAAACAAACAAACAGACAGATAGATAGACAGACAGACAGACAGACAGACAGACAGACAGACAGACAGCCTCTTACTGCAGAACAAAGCCAGCACACTTTTCCTTATATCACCACAACTAAAAGGGTCAAGGGCTTACTTCTGAATTTTTAACTGAAAGCTGAAATTCAGGCAAGAAGCCTGCAATTCCCTGAGGGAACAAGGCCCCTACAGGCGGCCTGCAGCTGTGGCCTGAAGCAACCCTACTTTTTAGCAATTCTTTAATATAGGAATTCCTATATTATATAGTAATACAGCAGAGAAATTGAACTATCACAAATTGCAGCATCCAGCTTTAAAATGAATTACAATGGGGGCTGCAGATCTGTAATCAGTATTCCTGTGTATTTGTGTGGGGGCGTAAACCTTCTGTGTCCTGCGCGCAGTGGTGCTGTGTGGTAATTTTAGATTCTGGACATAACAGTCTCACCAGAATGAAGGTTTCTTGAGTAATGCATATTACTTAATGTATTTCATAATGTGGTAAACCAGGCTGGCCACATTTGGAGGCCTTCATGCCCATCCTGCTGTCCTAACCTGACAGCATTACTGTCCTTGGGGCGCCATGTTTTTCCCTCACTACATCTAGAAATACTCAAGGCCCCTATCGACCTTTTTCAACTGTGGCCTGCAGCAGGCCTCGTTTCTAGCAATCCTTTAACATACTAGTACACACTGAAAATGTTAATGTCCATCTTGAACTAAAACGACTGCAACATTGAACTCCTTATAAAAAAATCTTTATGTGCCGGGCTTAGACAGGATACGATAGATAGGAAGTTTCCACAGAACTGTGAGCTGCACACCCATCCTTTGACCTTGGAGGGTCCCTGTGAAGGAGGAATAGGCATGAGAGAGAAAAGTGAGAGTGAGCCCTCCCCTCAAATAAAAGCATCAGAGAAAGAGGGAGAGAGAAAAGAAAAGGAAGGATTGGTTGTTGAGGGAAATGATGGGAAGGAATTGAAGGAAAAATAAGTAAAAGTAGAAGTCGTCTGGTAGAGGAAGGAAAGGGAAAGGAGGAGGAGGATTTAACCCTACCAGTGTGAGAGGAGGATATAAAGCAGGGGACCCCATCGTTTTTCACCCCACGGACTGGCTAAGGCAGGGCACCCCCATGCTCATGCCCATGCCTGAACTACCACACACACACACACACTCTCTCTCTTGTGTGGATGTGCATTTTCATGCGCATGTGCAAATGGCAGCACAGTGCTTGTGCGGGTGTGCTTGTGCACATGCGCCAAGGGCAGTGCAGTGCTTGTGCAGGTGCTTGTGCGCATGCACAAATGGCAGCATAGCACTCGTACAGGCACCCTGGAGTGTGTGTGCAGGCGCTAACAGCCTGTGTGGGGGTGAGTGCATGCGGGGAGGTGGAAGGTCTGTCTTCGCAGCGTGGTCCAGCTCAGGACACAGACCAGCACCGGGCCGCGGACCAGGGGTTGGGGGCCTCTGATATCAAGGGGGAAGGAGAGTTTTCAGTGTGCTGCAGGAAGAGAGAAAGAAGGAGGAAATAAGAGAGAGGGAGAGGAAGGAAGAAGAATCCAGATATGGAAAAACACGCAAAGTTGTTAGACTCTCCCAACTTAAAGGTAGGAGGATTGTTGCCTGATCCCCATCTAAAAGAAAGGAAGGTGACGATAACAGAGACACAAAAATGGACGGTGGTAGTCTTCCCTCGAGGCCAAGGACACTGGAGGAGGGTAATCAGGCTGGATTCGACTTTCATGGCTGGGCATTTTTTTACTTACAAAATGACACCTTGGATAATGCAACGGTTTTGGTGGCCCAATGTGGGTAACGAAATAGAGGAATATTGCAAGACTTGCAGGAAATGTCAGAAGACACAAGTGAAACCATGTCCAGGGGCCACTCTGATCCCCATGCCCCTGATAGATCAATCTTTTGAAAGAATTGGGATAGATATTGTAGGCCCTTTGATTAGGTCAGCTGGAGGACACATGCATATCTTGGTTATAATAGATTATGCTACCCGATACCCTGAGGCTATCCCTTTGAGGCCTACCACTGCCAAGGTTTTACCTAGGGAGTTAATGCAGGTATTCTCTAGATTAGGTTTCCCCAAGGAAGTTTTAACTGATCAAGGCACCAATTTTATGAGTCAGACTTTAAAAGAACTATGGCATTTATTAGAAGTAAAACCAGTTCATATTGCGGTATACCACCCTCAAACTAATGGCTTAGTAGGAAGGTTCAATAAAACTTTGAAGGGGATGTTGAGAAAACTAGTGCTGGACAAACCACGGAGGTGGCACCTGTTAATAGCTCCACTAATGTTTGCAATTAGAGAAGTGCCTCAAGCCTCTACAGGATTCTTGCCCTTTGAAATGATGTATGGGTGGAATCCCAGAGGGATATTAGATTTGGTAAAAGAGAAGTGGGAAACTGGGAAAGATGAGGCTCAAGTGATAGTGCAACAAGTAATCGAAATGCAAGATCATTTGAATAGAGTTGCGGAAATAGCCAGAACACAATTACAAAACGTACAACAAGGACAAAAGAGACAGTATGACTTGAAGGTGAGCCCCAGGCAGTTTGAAGTAGGACAGAAAGTCCTCCTCTTGCTACATGCTGAGAACACCAAATTGTTTGCCAGGTGGCAAGGGCCTTATGAAGTACTCAGACTGGTAGGACAAGTACATTACGAGATAAAAATGCCAGATAAAAAGAAGGAAATTGGCATTTTCCATGTGAGCTTATTGAAGGAATGGAGAGAAAGAGAGATATTGTGGGAGGAAGCAGAAGATTTAGGCCCTGAAGCAATGATCTGTTTGCAGGTGATGCAAGAGCTATCCTTAGGAGGAAAACTGAGATCTGATCAAATTGATCAGGTTAGAAAAATAGAGTAAAATTTAAAGGATGTTTTTTCTAACAGACCAGGATATACCAAGATGGTGGAACATCAGATTAATACCTCCCCACAAGTCATGGTTAGGTCAGGAGGAAGGAATTGGCCACATCACTTAAAGGAGACGATTAATAAAGAATTAGAGGAAATGTTGACATTAGGAGTAATAGAACCTTCTTACAGTCTGTGGAGAAGTTGTCCAGTGGTGGTTCCCAAGCCAGATTGAAGTGTGAGGTTGTGTATTGATATTAGGAAATTGAATGAGGTATCCAGGTTTGATGCCTACCCTATGCCTAAGGTAGAAGACCTGTTGGAAAGACTAGGGCGGGCAGAGTTCTTGTCATTTTTACATTTGACAAAGGGTTATTGGCAAATTCTGTAAAGAACTAATGATAAAGAAAAGACTGCTTTCATCACCCCCAGGGGATTATTTCAATTTATCCGTATGCCGTTTGGGTTACATGGAGCAGTGGCTACCTTTCAGAGATTGATGGATAGAATTTTGGAACCTGTACAGGCATTTGCAGGGGCTTATATTGATGATATTTTGATTTAAAGCAATAGTTGGAAAGAACATGTAGAACATTTAGAAAAGGTGTTGGTTGAGTTGAGGAAAGCAGGACTCAAGGTGAAGACTTCCAAATGCAAGATTGCTAAGAGGGGAGTTAAATCCCTAGGGTTCCAAGTAGAACAAGGAAAAATTCAACCAGTTCAAGATAAAGTAGAAAAAATATCAGATTGGCCGTCCTCTAAGAACAAGAAGGAAGTTCAACAATTTCTGGGATTGGCAGGATACTACCGCCAATTTGTTCCCAATTTCGCAGAGATTGCAGCACCTCTCACTGATTTAACTAAGAAGAGGGTAGCTAATAAGATAAGATGGGGATTTATAGAATAGAAAGGGTTTGATCAACTGAATGAAATAGTAAATAGTTTACCCATTAGGTATGCCCCTAACTTCGATGTACCATTTATAGTACAGACTGATGCATCAGACAGAGGTATTGGGGCTGTACTGACCCAAATCAGAAAAGGTGTGGAATATCCTATTATGTATTTAAGTAAAAAACTATCACCACAAGAGCAAAGATTGAAAAGGAAGCATTGGCAGCAAAATGGGCTATACAATCACTGAAATATTATTTGTTAGGAGCTCCCTTTACTTTAGTTACAGATCATGCTCCTTTACAATGGTTGAATAGAATGAAAGATACTAATCCCAGGTAGACCAGATGGTATCTATGTTCACAAACTTTTGCATTTAATGTTCAATATAAAAAAGGTAAGACACATACTAACATGGATTATTTTTCCCAACAGGGTGATGGGAAACAACCATGGAATAGAGGACGGCATACTGTACTCATTGGGTGTGTGTGTGAAGGAGGAATACGCAAGAGGGAGAAAAATGAGTGAGCTGTCCCCTCAAATAAAAGCATCAGAGAAAGAGGGAGAGAGAAAAGAAAAGGAAGGATTGGTTGTTGAGGAAAATGATGGGAAGGAATTGAAGGAGAAAGAAGTAAAAATAGAAGTCTGTCTGGTAGAGGAAGGAAAGGGAAAGGCGGAGGAGGAGTTAACCCTACCAGAGTGGGAAGAGGATATAAAGGATCAAGGGGGAAGTAGAGTTTTCAGTGTGCTGCAGGAAGGGAGAAAGAAGGAAGAAATAAAGGAGAGGGAAAGGAAGAAGAAGAATTCAGATATGGAAAAACGTGCAAGTTATTAGAAGACTTTCCCAACTTAAAGGTGGGAGGATTGTTGCCCAATCCCGATCTAAAAGGAAAGAAGGTGACGGTAACAGAGACACAAGAATGGACGGTGGTAGTCTTCCCTCGAGGCCAAGGACACTGGAGCAGGGTAATCAGGCTGGATTTGACTTTCAATAAGCTACTGTGCGAGGGAGATTGGGCCAGGCATCCTTGTTGCGGCACGATATGTGCGGTGAGGAGCGCTCCGCTGAGGAAGCCCATGGACAAACAGCAATTTGGACCAGCCCCTCAATAGACTCTTCCTAAGTTACCATTCGGATTTTTACCTTCTCCCTATGAACAATTACCTGAATTTAGTTGTTTTGAGCCTGTTGAAGTCATTGTTGAGTCACCAAATGTTAGTACAAATAAATCTGTTAATCATTTGAACGGATCTCCGTGGTTATTTCCCCTCAAAAAAGAGGAACTGCTTCAGTCTTCTAACGAATTCAATCACAGTCCCACTTGCTTCAACAACTTCATCTCCCCAATTTCTTTCAGAAATGAATGCATTGATGGTTTTTTTCCTGAAAAGGCCTACATGTGCTAGCTAGTAACTAAAATTTTTTAATTTGGGGTAAAGTTTGGAGGTCCCATGGGTGCTGGGGTCCTTTAAAACATGGCAAAACTGCCTAAAAGGCAGAAGGGGGCTTCTTAAGCACCCATTTCTCTCCCCTCTCAAAAAAACCTATTGTGGTGTGTATAGTAGGGCTGGGGGTTGCCAAGGACTGCATGTTGCCCACTCCTGGCATAATCATTTTTTAGTCCTAAGGTCAGGGTACAATTAGGCAATGCTGGACAAGCCTAAAGGCTGACATAGGAAGAAGGGAGTTTCTTCAGATGGTAAAATGTGTTACGCCATGTACTTCAAACTGTGTTAGGCTGAGCCTCCTGCCCTGGGTAGCCTTCCTGCTCATTCTGCCAAGTTGTCTGTCTCAGGGCCCTCTTGAATGGCCAGCACTAATAGCTGTGCAGCGCCATACACTCTCTTCACACAAGGCTACTTCTACCATTCGGGCAGAGTGGGGAAACTGCTTCAGGCAGCTGATTTGGGGTATCACAAAAGGGCAACACATTATTTTATGTCGTATTTTAAGTTCTCAGGATAGGCAGAGACATTCTTGACAGATTTTATGCCAGAATATCTTTGGGTAGTAGGCACCTTGACTGAGGGGGATGGCGCTATGTGGTTCTCCTCTTTAGGCAGCACAGTGCCTTGAACTGCGCCAGGTTTTATGTGTCTGTAGATTGATTGACTGATTAATTTAAATTTTTACCCCACCCATCTAGTAGTCACCAGGCCACTACTCTGGATGGCTTACAAAATAACAACACAACCACAAAATCTTATACTACATATACTACAACTACAGTGGTGCCTCGCTTAACGATTGCCTCACTAAATGACGAAACTGCTATACGATAAAGTTTTTGCGATCGCAAAATGATGTTCCTATGGGGAAAATTCGCTTAACGATGATCGGTTCCCTGCTTCGGGAACCGATTTTTCGATAAATGACAATTTAGAAACAACTGATTGGTGGTTCTAAAATGGCTGCCTGCTGTGCAAAATGGCTCTCCGCTGTGTTTTCAGGACGGATTCCCCGCTTTACAGGCAGCGAAAATGTCTGCCCCTATGGAGGATCTTCGCTGGACGGTGAATTTTCAGCCCAATGAAATGCATTGAAATGGTTTCAATGCATTTCAGTGGGCTTTTTCGTTTCACAAGACGATGTTTTCGTAAGACAACGATTTTCGCCATCGTCTCGCGAGGCACCACTGTACAATAATAATGAAACAGAACTTTACAAAAAGAAAACCAGACCTCTAAATATAAAATAACTGATACCAAAAAAGTGTGTGTGTGTGTGTGTGTATAACATTACAATACATAAATACAGTAGTTGGTGGCAAAACAGAGACAAATACTCCAAAGTTCAGGGGTGCAGGTCATCATCAACAAAATTAGACCATGATAAGGCTGTGAAAGGCCTGCGTGAACAGCCATATTTTGAGTTGTATTCAAAAGCCAAGTAGGGAAGGGGCCAGTTACACATCTGTTGGGGAAGAGTTTAATAACGATGCGGCCACCACAGAGAAGTCCCAGTTCTGAGTTGTTGATTTCTGGGTTTCCCTTAGGGTGACCACCCATAACATCCCAGTATATGAGGTGCGGGTGGGATGGGTGGTTGTTCTGAGGGAGAGGCGCTCAGAGAAGAGGCAATGTTCTAAATTATTTAGGGCTTTAAATCTCAGCATAAGGACCCTGAACATGGTCTGGAAGCATACAGGCAACAAGTGCAAATGCATCAGAAGAGGTGATGTTATGATCATATATACTTCTTTCAACCTCTGTTGGCTGCCATTGTTTGTTTGGCCAGCACTCAAACATGTCACTTCTCTCCCTATCAATGAAATGACCAGGCTGAGGATAAAATATGCCAATATCATTGTACTGATACGTATTTCTAGAAGAGATATCGTATTTTCCATAAGACAGAACATGGTCTGGAAGCATACAGGCAACAAGTGCAAATGCATCAGAAGAGGTGATGTTATGATCATATATACTTCTTTCAACCTCTGTTGGCTGCCATTGTTTGTTTGGCCAGCACTCAAACATGTCACTTCTCTCCCTATCAATGAAATGACCAGGCTGAGGATAAAATATGCCAATATCATTGTACTGATACGTATTTCTAGAAGAGATATCGTATTTTTTGCACCATAAGACACACTTTCCCCCCACAAAAGTACTTGACTCTTGTGACATAGGCCACTATTGTACAGGGTTTTTGGAAGGTCTTGAGCATACTTAGTCATATTCTTGCACAAGAGAACCCAGTCGCCTTGTATGCTCCATCAGCTGCCCTGCCACACACAGAAGATGTGGGAAATGGTAGGAGTAGCACATAGCTTGAGATAGGGAATCTGTGATAAACATGGAAACAAAAACTCAAGAAACTTTCTGTTCCTCTGGATTATGAGGCAACATTTTTCCAAGGAACAGGTATATGTATGTGTGTGTAACAGGATTGTGGTGCTGAGTATGAACTGCCTAATTACAGTGATACCACACACAGTATATGTGTGGAACAGAATGGCACTTAGCATCTCTCTCTGAGCTTTCCAAACACCTTAGCACCATAGTGGGATTATACCTCTCTCTCTTTTTGACTTTCAAACCAATCCCTCCCTCTTTCATCCCACAGACTTCCAGGGTCAGATTGGTGTGTGTGTGAGGAAGGGACAACCAGGCAGACACATGCTGGCAGCTCCATCCCCGTTTCCATGGATACAACAATTTGTGATCTTTAGTAACGGTTTCCATGGTTGCCCCTGTGAATAGAAATGGGACCCAAAATGGGGGGGGGCATGGTTTTAAAAGAGCAGCAAAATGTGTTTTGGTGGTAGGGGAGAACTAAGATGTGAGACTTTTTCTCAAAAGTGATGTTGACCAACTTGGTTTCCTAGTGACCTAACAATGTGTGTGTGAATTTGTGTTCTAAACGACACCTCCCATTGTGTATTGGGAGTATCTTCTGGGTTGGGAGGATTTGTGTTTTGAATATATAGGCATTATGAAGGAATGAGCAGGCTAAGTGAAGGAGGATATAAATTGTTCTACCAACTATCTATTAACAGTTAGTGAAGAAACCAGAAGTGTTCCATTTGTACAATGGTTGGACCAGTTCTGAACTTTCTCCTGGAACAAATGTGGGTGTTGTTTCTAACAATGTAAAACCTGTGGGCAGGGTATGTAATCAGTTATTTAGTATTGTGTGGTGGATCTATTTGTATATTGATAGCGCTTCTCCAGCTTATCTGTGGTTATGGTGTATTGCTGGGTATGGTAGCTGCCAATATAATTTCCCTCTATCCCCTGAAGTCATGCCATGTGGGGCATGTTGTGAAAAATTAAAATTGTAGACCAAGTTTTTTAAAGGAGGTGGTACTGGAAAAGCATTAGAATTGTGTTTGGGCATTCATCTAATTATGATATGTACAAATGTGATCCCTAGCAGCAATAGCAGCAACACTTTACCTCAAGAATGCAGGAAATGCACTCTTGAGAGCTATTCATTTCTCAAAGGCAATGTCAGTCAGAATTCCTTAAAGTCAGAGTCTCTGGCCTCTAAAGCCATTGAGATTGGTTGCACTCACTCTGTGGTGCTAGAAGAACATTTCACATGTACTCACAAGACCTGTTTCCTTTCTTATATTCTCAATTTTGAATCTGAATGCTTTGATTCTTAGTTCAAATTAAAGGCCTTAGGAACATGATTTCTGGAAATTGAGGGGGGAGACAAAAGGGACTACAGTACCCGCCCCTTATTCATTTGACTTTGCTCACTTCAAAAGTAATGAACATAATAGTATATAATTTTAATATTAGCCAATTAAATAAGCAGGTATTTTAAATATCTGCCTGGAATGCAGGCTGCATTAATCACGTCCTGAAATCCTCAGCCTCTATTAGTGCTGAAATACATTATTAGCATCCATGCCCACAAACACATTTTCAAAGCAAGATAAACTTTGCACAATGTGGACTTTCAGGGTTAGGAATACCACAACTCATTGGCTTAGAAGAGGGTGAGGCAACAAATGAAGATGGACATATGCTTCTAAAGCCTGTTTAGGGGTGTATGTGGGGTGTTTAAAAGGGCTCAGCAGGGCTTAGTGAAAGCTGGTTCAAGACATTTTGTTGCCTTAAATAAAGGCTAAGTACAGTAACAGCTTATGATTTATGTTTGACTAAATAATTAGGAGGAGCTTCCTAATGGTTAGAGCTATTCTGTAGTGCAAACAGCTACAGTATTTCATAAAGTAAGGGGCTCCTCTCTTTCACTGAAGACTTTTAAAAAGAGGTTGGCTGGCTCTTTGTCAGGGACGATTTAGTTGTATCAGGAATGAGTTGGGCTAGATGACATTTGGAGGACAATTCTATACTGTACTTCTATATCAAATATTTGTATTATGCCACTGGATTAATAATCAGCCCATCATATCTCACCAAAGGCATGTGTGTACAGCAGGGCTAGGCAACCTCTTTGGGGACCAGTTTCTGAATAGGAAGTCATTATCAGTTTTGAAAAATGGGTATTTGTAAATGTTCAACACTACAGGGGGTTCTCTATTTAAAAGGTGAGCTTCTGCTCCAGGCATGACAATTTACCTTTTTTGCTATGGAGACAAATCTTTTGTCAGAGGACAGGGAGTCCAATGGGTCCGGGGACTGAAAAACACCATGGGGGCACATTTTGTGTACCTTTGCTATAAAGAAACATGTTAATCTGGTACAGTGGTGCCTCACTTTACAATTGCCCCATATTACGATGAATCCGCTTGCGATCGCAATTACAACCGCAAAACGATGGTCTGAATGGGGGAATTTCGCTTTGTGATGATCGGTTTCCTGCTTCGGGAACCAATTATTTGCAAAACAACGTTTTTTGAACAGCTGATCGGCAGTTTCAAAATGGCCACCGGGTGATTAAAATGGCTCCCCGCTGTGTTTAGGGACGGATTCCTCACTATACAGGCAGCGAAAATGGCCGCCGTATGGAGGATCTTTGCTGGACGGTGAGTTTTTACCCCATTGGAACGCATTGAATGGGTTTCAATGCATTTCAATGGGGTTATTTTCGCTTTACGATATTTTCACTTAACGGCGATTTTCCTAGAACGGATTATCGTCATTAAGCGAGGCACCACTGTACTTGAAAAGATTACAGTTGCAAGACCACAATAAAACATGCCATAGACTATAACAGAGGAACAAGAGAAAATTCTTTCTTGTTACTACCTTTGGAATCTTTCTTGGAGGAGACACTCAGAAGAGGCCCTCAAATGTTGATTTCAGAGAGTGGGCAAAACAAGCATTCCGTCAAGTACTGGGATTCTAAACCATGCAAGAGGCTGCATCTTTTCCTCCTGTCACCTACAGAATATGACTAGCAGCTAAATTGTAGTTCCACACTGTTATGGTTGGTCAGCAGCATTCATCATTTCATATGAGGGCAACAGGCTAGGTTAGGTTTATGAGGCAGTGTGCCTGAACTTGCCTTAGGGAGCATGAGGCATGTATGCACTAAGACTCCTGGGGTGCTCAGAGAAGGTGTGTCAAGTTATTCAGGGAGGCTGGTGCAGTGAAGGAAGGGGAGGAACAAAGTACCCTATGCTTAGGTCTGCTGCTGGCTCACTCTATCAATGGGCTGCTGGATGAAAGGAGTGGTGCTGGTAGCTCTGTGTGTGTGTGTGTGTGTGTATGTGTGTTGCTGAGTGGCCTGGTTTTATTGCTAATGAAGAGAGAAAGGAATAAGTTCCCTTTAGTGCTGAGCTAAGGATGAATCCATTTCTGCATTAATTACCCCTCAAGGGACTGAGGTAGTGGTGGTGGTGATAGCGGGGTGGAGCTCAGCCAACTCGGAAGCCCCATTTCTTTTGTCTGTTGGAGAAAGCTCTTCCCCTCGTGCCTCACTGACCTTGTGGCCTGCACAGGACTGCAGAACTAAGGATCCAATGCCAAGGTCATTATGTGTAAGGTGGTGGCGCTGTGGGCTAAACCGCAGAAGCCTGTGCTGCAGGGTCAGAAGACCAAGCAGTCGTAAGATCGAATCCACGCGACGGAGTGAGCTCCCGTCGCTTGTCCCAGCTCCCGCCAACCTGAGAAAGCTCTTCCCCTCGTGCCTCACTGACCTTGTGGCCTGCACAGGACTGCAGAACTAAGGATCCAATGCCAAAGTCATTATGTGTAAGGTATGTGCTTACAAAACTCATTATTAAATCATCCTTTCCATGTCTTAACTTATGCTGTATGATGGCTGTTAGAAACAGAGAAAGGGGAGTGAACCCTCTACCAATTTTTTTTCAGATGTCAAAATTAATTAATTCATCAACTTTCAGAACACTAAGCCTCATACTTTTCTACAGTCCTACTGACTTGGTGCCTTATATGATTATGCAGGCTGAAGATGATGGGCCCCACACATCTAGAAGGTGCCAGGTTGGGGAAGACCTGTTGAAACTTCATCTAAGTAAACATAGCTAAAATGCAAACAGTTCCTCTCCTTGTTTATTCCTACTTCCATTTCTTTCCCCTTCTCTTTGCTGATCTAAAGATTTAAATTCATTATGACATCAGGTAAATTTACTCTGATATAGAACTCTAGTTTCACTCTTTGTTGTCTGTTTCTAATAATTGTAATATAAGCTGCACAGAAATGAAGTAAGCCAAGGAAAGGATGAGTTAATGGGTAGCAAGTTTTGTGGGCAGCAATATTTGTTGCATCAGTGATGCTGGCTTTTGCATGGCCCACAACAAGGGTGAGGTGGGTGGGAAAGGGGTCTTGTGAATGGAGAAAAGAAAACGGGTCTTCCCATCTTTGCTGAGCTTCACCCTACAATTAAGATGGGAGCTGAAGTTCAAAACATCAGAAGGGCACCAGGTTAGAAAAAGCTGGTGTAGACAATATTGAGGTACCGGTCAGAATGTCTCTCCTACAAAACAGCTACCAGTCCCACCCACTCTTCACAGTTCATGACGATAAAAATAGTAACACCTAAGGACGACAAAAGAGTGAATATCAAGAACTGGGCTTTTTCAGTTGTGGCTTCCGGAACAAATTTCCAGCAGAGATTTGCAAGGTGCCTTCCCTTTCAGTTTTAAAGAAATCAATTGAAACAGAATTAGGCCCTGGTCACACAATCGCACAGTCAAGATATTTTCCTGGCCATGGGTGTAACTGCAGTTTATTTTCCACTCCCTGAGAGGGTGGTGCTATTTTGTATCTCTATTGTATTCCTTAATACAATTGCCTGTGTGCATGACCTGACCTGCTTCTTTTCAGAATCAAAGCCGAGAAGGTGGCCGCCATTATAGTGGCAGACATATTTTTAAAAAGTTTTTGCAGCTCGTACAGTGATATGTTGGTAAAAGTACACCAGAGATCAATTTGAGCCACTGCTGCAGTACCAGCATTTCGACATGCCACTTTTTGCCAATCATTGTGAGGAGACAGTTGTGGGGGTGGGTGGGAGGTAATGGCAGATTAAGCTGAAAGGCAGAGGAGATGGTGGGGGCAGTAATCGGACCAATGTGATTCTGTAGGAGCAGCCAGTGCATGCAGAGGACACATTTCCAAATGGAAATCCCTTCCTGATATATCAACATATCAATAATTTTCTAACAAATATACGTAAGGCTGAATTGCCTCATGAAGAAAGAGAGAAAATAAACCAGTACTATGGTGTAACTGACCATAATTATTCAGATAGGAGAATATAACCATTACTGCTAAAAGTTGTTGGGAATTTCATCCCAGTATATATATAACACATGACCGAGAATCAGTACAATAGAAGTATGGAAAGTACTGGAAGAACTAGAGAACATTTCCCTTGTGTGACCAGGGCCTTATTTAAAGCTGCTTTTTATTAGCGCTTGTTACCTGAGATGTTCAAAGTTGTGCTTGCAGTATCGGGGGGTGTACAAGTTGAAATAATAAAAAGTTTTAAAAAATAAAAATAAAAATAAATTAAACAAACAAACAAACAGCACCCCATTAACCTTAATATGGCTTGACTTGCACCAGCCCACTTACAACACACTACGTTCCCTTGTACTTTCCCCTGGCTCTGCTCCTCACCGTCTGGTGTAGGTCAGGAATGCCAATTCGGAAGACCATCATACTGAAATGTGCGTCCTCAGGTACTGTCATGGAGTGATTGTGAGTAGGGTTAGCAGGGCTGGCTGGAGGGCTGGGCCCCTCGTGGGAGCTCTCCGAGCCCGAGTCCCCCTCGGGGCACTGGGAGAGGTGCTCCTCCTCCTCCGCGCTTGTTTCGGGGCTCTGGGGCATCGTCAGGGGTGCTGGGCACCATCACTGGCTGCACTGCAAGAGTGAGGAGAGAAAGAGATATTTATTCCAGTTGAGAAAGAAGTAAGGTAAGGGAGGACTCAGGAATACGCAGCAGGAAAAAGAAGCACAGACGGTCTCTACAGTCTGGAGCTACTGAGATGTATTCCTATAACACACACTTATGCACCCTTACTCAAGCCCAGGGCAGTTCCAAGAAGCCTTGCTATCTGAGGTAAAGGAAAGAAAAATATAGTACAGTACCCTCTTTCCCACCCATCCACTTCCACATAAAGATGTGAAGTAGACTGGTGAAGTGGCATTGTTCTTCACCACCACAGCTTATGGCAGCGACCCAACTGAGAGAGTGCAAAACAGGCATTGTATCTGCCATTATTTCTCACCTGAGGCAATCTGTGAGATGGTAGAGCTGGTCCGAGGCTTCACAAATAACCCTTTCAAATCAAACATGCACAGATGCAGATGCACATGCACACATTTGCCAAGATGATGCGTAAATCAAGCAAAAAGTTGACTTCCCCTCCTTTACTCATACACACACACACCTTGCCTCGGTTGTTCTAGCACAAAACAGATCGGATATACAGACAAAATATGCAGATGTGTAACTTGGCTCAGTACAAGCTATTTTGCTGGCCAAGGGCAGAGACTAATTTTTCGGCCCATGCTGCATCTTGTTACATGTGTTAGATGCTGTTTGCTTCTTGAGGGATTTCCTACATCTTAGCTCCTTTCCCCCACTTAG